ATCAGGACATGTACAAGGATAAGACATTTATTTATTAGTTTTTTGCTCTCAGATCACTGGTGCAACTTCTTGACTAATGATACATGTACAAGAGGCACCTTTTCCTTGTGCATGTCCCTATGTGGAAACCATCCCAATTCCATGTATGGTTGAAATCCAAGATGGGTTTTGTTCATCTGGGTCTACCCACATTTTGGAGCGCTTGCCAGGGTCCTATCTGGAGGCATCTTTTGCTGCTGTCTGGATCAAAGCTTGAGGGCTAGTGATGTAAGGAGCATATCATCAACTGAACCTCAGTTGTCTTGTTCAGAAGACACGGCTGACCTGTATCATCTCCTTCTCAGAATTATTGCAAAGCAGACAGCAAATTCCTTGGTGAAAACTGTCCAACCAATTGAACAGTTCATGCTCATGATCATTTTTCAAACATTGCATAACCTCAAGACCAGATAGAAAGTGATAAATAGATTCCATTTAGACATCTAAAGCTTTTTGTTGTTGTTGATAAGCAGGATCTCATGTGCCAGATTTTGTGTCTCATCAGTTTGAGTTTTGATTGATCACATGCTGACCACAAGGCAATTTACTCAGAACTTTCATTCTCCTAAAAATGGCCCCGTGGGGCCTGGGTACCCATTGAAACTAGGGTACAAGTTGCTTTTTTAGCCAAAAACTGGCACCATGCCAGCACTACACTTCCAGATGACTCCACTGCAGCAAGACTTGTGTCAAGTTTGGCCACACTGCCAAGTCTTGTCAGCAAATCTGGTTTTTCTTTTGTTGGCCATTTCTTTAGTGATTTATGAGGATGTGTAGCCTCTTTCTCACATTTAAAGGGAAAAAAAGACTCACTCACACTGTGAAAAAAAATCTTGCCAAACTGGCAGCAGTTGAAATGCAATCAATAACACAAAGACACCTTTGTAATATTGCATGTCCACTGCCCCCAGTTCAGTAAGGTTTTCTCAAAAGTGTCAAAAGGGGCCTTACAAAAATAACTTGCAAATTTTGGGGAGCAAATCTGGAAAGAATAAGTCAGAGCCAAGTGGATAATAATGAGGATTAATGAGAAGTCTGATTTGGATTGGCAACACTGTGACTTTGCTCCAACCTGAGAAATTATCAGTCCAGGTCCACAAAGTGGCATTAAGAGTGCAAAATCCTGAACTAGCTGCAGAAATAGATTTAACAGGAGGTATTCTGATGATTATTACAAGCAATTTCTTCCTGAAGATCTGCACATTTGAGCTGCTGGGTCCTACTATCTCAAACCAAGTCATGATCTACGTAAATAAATCCCCACACCTTTGAGAGCCCCTAGTCATGGGCCCTTTTTAAGTATCAGTTTATCAGCTGATCATCCCCTCTCCACCCAACTTCAAATCCACTTTATTTCCTTTTTGTTTACAAAATTGCATAAATGACACCCTTTTTTTTGGTATGTAGTATATCAATCTATAACATGATCCACAGAGGACATAATGTCTGTGTAACCAGAATCAATGATTTTATTTATTTATTTTTCAATTGAAACTTAAAGTGCCCCGCCAAGCCCCACCTTTGCATACATATGTACGTACTGTCTCTTTTTCTTTTTTTTCCCCTTCTTCTTTGCTGCGCAAAGTTATGCTTACATTTCCAGAATGATATTTTCAAGTTGTTTTTGGGCATGGATCCATCTTTGCAGTTCAGTATTACCATGAGGGTAATAATTACCTTGTATAATGTTTTGGTGTAAATACACTACATAGTTAATTTCAAATGGTACAATTGAGTGTTATTTTTCGCTTTTAATCTTGGACTACGATGTGGTCCGTTGATCGGCAGTAGCTGTGAGCTCTAGACTGGACTAACGATGTGACATCGCACATATGTAGCTACAAATGATCGATATGTGAGATAGCGAGGAGAGTACGGCAAAGGCGTTATGTGTATTCGGAGGAGGGAGCTGAGGCAGGTTGATGCAAGACAGGTGTCGACGAGCCGATGGGGAGGATTTCAAGGATATGTTACAGTAGTGGAATCGATCTCGGACCGATGGCCCGTTTATTCTCTGGGAGATCAAATATTTTTCTACAGAGCATGAAACGGTATGGACTGATCGGTTTTCTTGGGATGATTAGTTCGACTGCGGATGTTCTACCGGGAGTCTACTATTGAAGGATGCTTGATTGGTGCTGGCCGTTGGGATTGATGAAACGAATGGGTTGATGGATGGATATTGTTTTTTTTTTTTTTTTTTTGGTTGAAACTGAGGTACAGATTATAACGTGGAAGTTGTGGTGATGATGTCAAGATGGGAGAGAGATCATGGAGGAGGTCTCAGCGGAGAAGGGTGACCCACAAACAAGACAGTGCTTGTGTAGGTAGACCCTTGAAAATTTAATGGTGGATTCCAATTAGACCCCCCTCTCCCCCTCATAACATTCCTCATCCTCATCCTACTAAATGGGATGTACAGCGATCGACTTGAGCTTCATCAACCACAACAAACCAACACGAACAACAGGAACAACAAGAACATGAACACTAACTACTTCGAAATCACAAACAGACCATCAAGCTCATCCCATCCTCACTATCGGAATCATCAACCAGCCAGACAGATCATCCACCAGCAACCCCACAGGGAGGACGCCCAAACTAACGAACAGTCTGGCTGGCTTCCACCCCGTCTACCTATGCAGCCCAACCACCAGTCATCAGACCAGCTGCTGCAGTACAACATCACAACTATCATCCTCATCATCACCAGCATCCTCACACACCCCATCTATCCACTCGGAACAGTAATCCTTACCACTACTACAGACCAGTCCTAGAAGACCCTCATCACCACACAGGGATTACCCAGATCATCAGCCAGACAACGACTCGCAGACACCTACCGCCCCCATCGACCTCCTCATCCACTCCATCAATCGATCGTCAACCTCCTCCTGATCGGTTCAGAAGGCACTCTGCGTACGGTAAGCTTGCTGAAAATCTATTAAAAACTAAGAAAAAAATAATTATGACTAAATTTCTTAAGTTTAATTTTAATCTTTAATTTTTCTCCTTCTTCTTGACCATCTGAAACCTAACCCACCTTCTTGATTCATCTATTTTCATGAAATCATCGATTAACAGAAAACTCTCCACCGGCCAACTTGCCCACATATTTCCCATCCAATCAACCCTATAACTTCCCAAGACAAGATGGTCAGTAACCCCCTCCTTCCTTCTGTCCAATTCCCGCATTCAAAATCAAAAATCAAAACCATTCTCATTCCTGTACACCTGTAACACTAACTGAATTCTGAAACACCTTCAACCACCCTTTGAAATAGATTCTTCTTCCGTTTCAAACCATCTCCCTCGGCCCATTGATATCATAGACGAAGATCATCGAACCAGAAACAACCAACACCAACACCCAATTCCAGTCCATCCTCCCACATCCGACGTCTCACAGCTCTTCAAGCGTACCTTCCGGGCATACAGCGAAGAAACCTCGCCAACCGGGACCACCATGAACCCGGACTCCACCATCCCCCGTCCCCCAAGAAACAACAACCGCCCAACGACCACAACGACAACGACTATTCATGAACATCATCAGGATTCCATCGATCCGCAAGACAATCAAGAGCAGGAAGACCAACAGCCTCCCCTCCAAGAAGGCAAAATTCAATCACTCGGCCAACTCATCCTCACCACCCCAACAACAAGAGTCTCCCCAACCTCAACAGCAACAGAAGCAGGAGCATGATACCGATGGCAACAAGGAAGCCCTCTTCAACATCCGAACCTGACTCTTCTCCTATCATCCGATCCGACGTCATCAAGTATTACCAACTCGGCTCAACAGCCTTCCATCAAGTCTTTGCCAATTGTGTCATCAGTAAAACGACAACCAAGGACAGTCTCATCTCACTCACCTCTGGTATTCTTGAACATCTAGGCACCATGTAAGTCTTTCTTCTTCTTCTTTTTTTTGAAAACCAATCACTCACATTATCCTTTCTCTGTGTGTTTCCTTAGAACGGCTGTCGAGATAGTTTACTTCAATACTGGTAAAAAAGCAGCAGAGATTGTCATGGCAGTCAGCTTTCTCGACGCAAGTGCGGCCAAGCAGGCCTGTTCAAAACGCAGTTTCATCGTCCCAACTCCGTTCCGTCATAAAGGCAACCGACTCATCGTTTATCCCAAATTACCCGACTCTGAAAACCAGACCTCCTCAGCTAGTCCCAAGTCTTCTTGCGGTGAGTCTCAAACCTCCTGTTTGATCTCAAACTCTCGATTTGCATTCTAATCATCTTCTCAAAAGATAAAACAGCAGGTAGCCCTGGCTCTGGTACTGCTGAAGCCTCTGTCGAGCAGCCCGCTTCATCGAGCTCTCAGCCTCAAGATAGCGATGAGAGCAATCAGAAAGTCAGTTTCTCTGCTCCACGCAGATCTCAATAATTATCTGACTAAATCTCGCTCATGACATCCAGACCACTCACTCCGGAGATGAAACCGCGGAGTCGAATGTCGAGACAAGTGATCTTCCAGGTGATGAGACCAACAATGTAGAAAGTTCAGGAAAGGGTTCCCCATCATCTAGTTCAAACCTTCCGGCTGATCATGGCGATACAGAAGATGAAGTACCACCCAGCAAGAAAACCAAAAAACTCAAATCACTTCCAAGCAATTCTGACGAGCGATCCCAAGAACAGACCTCTCCTGCACGGACCGAGCCAAGTCATCGGACGTCATCCGCTGAACGATCACCTCCAAGCAAATCTTCTCATTCCCAATCCTCTCAAGCTTCGTCTTCTCGCTCCCGTCAAGTTATTGCCCTAGCTATGGTCTGCCGTTCAATAACTCGTGACGAGATGAAACCAATGGCGCGCGAGGTTCTTGGGCCTCTAGGACAAATGTGAGTATCACTCACGCCCAGTCTCACTATCATCTCATCCATGCTCACAACCAATCATCGCTTTCTCTCCCTTCAGCTCGGACGTTGAGATTCTATCATTCGAGGGTCGAAGGTTCATCAATGTCGTCCTGCTCATCACCTTCGAACGATCGAGTCCAGCTCGGGAGGCTTGTTCAAGACGCCGGTTTCGGATACCTTCGGCCTATCACTATCACGACTACGATCTAGTCGTCTTCGAGAACACACCACAACGACATCTTTCTTCGGATACCGGCCCATCCCAGAAACCATCTGAGAACCTGAATACTCCCAGTCACTCCTCCGATCAAGCCCCTCAACCTATCTCCTCCCCCAATAATTCCCACCCTACTTCTGAGTGTCCACAAATCGAGGAAACAGATCAACTCAACTCGAGCCCTGACCGGAAACCAATTGATATGCTGCTCTCTTCTGATCCCGTCGATCAAGACAATCAGGTCGGTTCTTCAATTGCCCTTCCTTCTCTCTCTCTCTCTCTCTCTTTGTTCGTTTTAGCTGCGCCAGTTCATTCCTCTGACCGTCAAAAATTTAAGCAGGTTACTTCCCGGTCGCTTAGTCGTCAACCATCCACTCCCTCCCCCGACACAATGGAAGAGCCCGCGAGCGAGGAAGGCGCCACCGATGGGCCACCACTCAAGAAGATGAAGACCCACCGGATCGTTTCTGACAAGAGCACGGCCGAACGGGCAATGGTCCCACTCGAACCACCCCAAAAGGCCACTCCACTGGACCTGAAAAAAGACGGCAAACCCTCACCGATGCAAACTCCTTCATCTAGCCGTCTGGACCGGCGCATCCACAGCGGTTCTTACCAACCTGGCCCCGTACACCAGGTCTTTGCATCCGGCCTTGTCCATCAATGTTGCACTCGTGAGAAGATACCCCAATTGATGAACGATATCCTCGGGTTCATAGGTCCCATGTAAGTGAGAATCTCTCTGTGATCCCGAGTCAGATTTTAGATGCAGATCAATTGATCCATGTTGGTGATCCAGCTCGGACGTAGAGATCCTGAGCTTTGTGGGTAAGGGGGCGAGCCATGCCTATGACATCGTCATAGCGGTCACTTTCGAGCAAACCAGCGCCGCACGTGAGGCTTTCTTTCGTCGGACGTTCGAGGTTCCAAGTCCATTTAGCTATCAGAAAAATTCCATCACCGTCCATCGCACCCTTCCTGGTACCCGCAACCAGCAACCGACACCGCGCCTATCCACCTCCCAGATAGACCTACCTCAGACCCCTCCTCCTGCTTCAATTACCCCCTCCCATCCCTCACCTCCAGCGGACAATCCGACCTCCCGGTTTTTCTCTCCTGCTCAAGATAAACCGCTGACCACTGAAGATTCCGGACCGGAGGAATCGGCAATGGTCATTGACACAAACGAACCTTGCATTAGTGTCAGTCTTTCTTTTTCTCTTAATTTCTGAATTCTATGGATCCTATATCCAGCTGATCACCACCAACAATAACAACAAAAATCCTCTACAGACTAGTCCGTCATCGTCAAGCAGGTCGGTTGAGGCTTCCGCCGATCAACCCCCCTGTGGCTCGAGGAGTGAATCAGCTCAGGCGGTCGACCAGTCGGCTCAGATGGATGATTCGGCTTCAGAAGATGTGTGTGCGATTTTCTTTAATTTCAGTAAACACAGATCAAGCTGATCTGTTTTTTTTTTTTGCTCGCAGCAACCTCTCTGGGAACGTGTTGATAAGATCAAGCCCTCTGTCGATGATAATGCGCCCCCTCGACCGTGGTCGCCAAGCTCTTTTGTGGTCTACGAACGTCTAACGCCGGTCGCTCCGATTAAACCCCCACCTACTCGGCAAAAGTACGTCGACGACTGTTCGATTAATGACGTTCGTCGAATATCACGATGATGAGGTCGAGGCAAGCGTTATAAGAAAGATCTTGACCACTGGAGATGTAGTCTTTCTTCTGTATTGGCATTCGAGCGTATTCTAAGAGCTGACCTGAGGATAATCGGCCCCCCCGCCTTTCTCTCAGGTTTCATGCCCGCCAACGAGGTCTGATCGACCTTAAACTGACAATGGACGAGCGGGTAGCCGAGCAAGCTGAGAAAGTGATCCACGGGCACCCCTTCCCTCAATGTGATTCCTGGCCGCTCTTCCTCAGTTCCCGTTATGTTCGAGGGTACGGAGCCTTGAACGCGCTTCGTGCCAAACTCAAACAGGATTCTCTCAACAAAAGCCTTTGTGCCCCTCAGCCTAACCAAGAGCCGCCCACTCCGAAAGATCCCCGATCCAAAATCAGGAACATTGAGCTCGAGAATGAGCCTTGTTTATCCGATGCTTCTCGTACTCCTCCTCCTCCGCCACAGCCTCCTTCCTCCGAAGTTGACCAACTACAGTCTTCCCCACATCCCCCCACCAAACCCAAACGTCGATCTCGTCGCCCTCCTTCAGTCCCATCTTCCCCATCCAATAAGAACCCAGATGATCAACCGCTCCCTGAAGAAGATCTCGGTCTACCCCTCCGGACCGTCCAGTTCGCTATCCCTGAAAATTGCAAGAGGGAACATCCTTCTTGGTCTGCCAATCGTCTCCACTTCAAGCTCGATAAGATCCGCTTGACCACTAGCAAGAATCAGACCGTGGTTGACTCTGCATGGGAATCCGATCGTTTGGTGCTCTATGTAGTCCCTAACTCAGATGATTCTCTCCTCCCCTCTCAAGTCCAAGAGCTAGACAATAACAGTCCCGCGGTTCGTGAATCTCAACCCGTGCCTTCTACCTCGGGATCTGTAACACGTGATAGAAGTACATCAAGTGACGCCCGCTCAGTCACACCGCCCGCTCAGCCGGAGCGATCGCCGAAAACCCATCGCTCGTGGCCATTTGAACCCGCGCCGATGTATCTTGATGAATCCACTTCTACGGACTTTCCTCGAACACTTAACGACTTCTTGACGACCTTCTTCCGGCTCTGGGAAGAATCTCGTGAGGATCTTCGGTACCTCTACGACGATTCTGCTGTCTTCTCCAACATCCTTGCTAAGCAGGGCCGCAAAGCCTCTGCGATCACCAAGAGCACGGGGTGGGCGAGTATCTTTAAGAGTATCAGCCGTCTTCCTGCGCTCTCGAATGATCCGATGTCCGACATCATCATCGATGCCAGCCCGATCTCACTCCTCCCTCTCCGAGTTATCTGTAGTGTCCATGGTTCCTTCTCGGAATTCCCCAAAAACGTCAGAAGAGCTTTCGATCGCACTCTCATCCTTCGCCCGGTTGATGTCCATTTACACCCCTCTGAAGGCTGTCTGGGAGTCTTGAAGTGGATCATCCTCAGTGACACGCTCACCATTCGAAAACATACCTCTCGTACCACATCTATCACCGAAGGATTTCGTGATATTCACAAGAGTAGGGCTTGTCAAGAGATGGGATCGGATTATCATCAAGCTCGTGAAGTCTTTCAAGAAAACCTGAGGTCCCGCGGTCAATCATCAGTAGGAAGAGGAGAAGAACGGACGAGAGCCCGGAGCTCTTCTTCTCATCTACGCGTTCATTCCTCTCACGACTCGCCTCTCCCCACAGTCACCCGAACGAAAGTGGAGCAGCCCAATCCAGCAAGCTCGACGGTGGTCGATTGTCCAGCAGATGAAAGTCTACGTTCAGGCTCGGAGACCGTGGGTCAATCGACGAGTGAATTATCGTCACTCCAGCAACAACTCAAGGCGATGCAGGCGGAAATTGAGAGTCTAAAGACCTTAACGCGTGAAGGACGGTCGACCAATTCGTCGGCGGGACTCGAAGATCCATTGGGAGGACATAAACCGAAGCCGGTGGAGCAAGCCGTGAGGAGGGTGGAGAAGGAGGACACAGGGAAGGGACGGACACGGAAGACGCAGATCGGGGTAGTCGATTCCTGTTCGGCGGGCCATCTCGGGTTCGGAGTGTCCAAGAAACGGCTCCTGTTGTCGACCGATTTGGGTCGCTATCTGGTGATCTCAATGCGTGGCGATATCCTCACTTGGGATCCTAACCATTCTCCTCACGTCGAACTCGTCAAATCAGGCGCTTCCCCGACCGATATCGTCGACTCGGCCGTCTTCGATAATCGCTCCCATACCCTCGTAGTAGGCTCCAGAACCTCTAAAACCGCTCGGAATACTCATAGCTCTAATGTCTGTTTGGTGAAGATTTGGAAATCTAAAGTTGAGCTCAATTCATCCCTCTTTTGTCTCTCTTGATTTTGCCTTTCTTGCTCGTCTGATTTTTATTTGCTTTTTGTTTTGTAGAAGGGTGGGATGATCTTTGATCGGTTGTTATTGGACGATATGATACATGAAAACGGAGTTCGAGCAACCTGTTTAGCACCTTCGAGTATCACCAACAACACCAACGAATTTCCCAGTAATTCAGAAACTATTGAAGGTGGAGGAACAATCGTTAAAGCACAAACCAAACACCACAAAACTCAAACCAATTTCTTAACTGCTGGCCAAGATAAATTCCTCAGTTTATGGAAAATCGTCCACACCTTTAATCCCAAGAAAAAATCTTCTTCGTCGTCGTCCTTGGGGTTCTCTTCAGGAGTGGGGTCCGGCTCCGGCTCCGGCTCAATCGTGTTTAAGGATGTCGTCAAGATTCCCGCGGCTCATTCCGGGATCATTCAGTCTTTGTGTTTGTTTGATCATAAAAATTCCGTCCTTTCTGGGGGCCATGATGGAAAAGTTTCGTTCTTTCCCTTTCTTATCTTCTTTTTTTTTATTAAACAAAATGATTGGAGATTGTTAATCGAGGGAAGTTTATTTTTTTGTTGTTGTTGTTGCGGTGGATGTGTAGGTTTATGCGACGGATCTGTCTCAAGCTTTTCATCACACTTTGTGTCTTGAAGAAAATTCGCATATCTTTGATATTCAAACTAAGTCAGCCCCTCCATTTTCTTTCTCAATTTCCTCTCATTCGAAACTGACCTCTCTCCGTTTTTTTTTTCTTGTAGTCCGGTTGTTAGTGATACTATTATGGTTACTACTGGGAATAAAGCACCTGGAAGTCAAGTAAGTTTCAAAAATAAAAAATAAAAAATCAACCTTTTTTGCTTCACCAAAGAAAAAGACTATTGAATCTTGAGTAACTGAATGGAGTTTTTTTTTTTCGTTTCTCTTTTTTTTTATAGTTTCGATATTGTGATCTGAGAACGCCAGCCCGACCAGTGATAAGTTTCGGCCTGACGAGTATGACGACAGGAAGTATAGGGACGGGAGGGCACACGGAGGCGGGGGTGAAGTACCATCGCAAAGGAAGCCTGCGGGATTATCTGTGGAGTTATCCGAATGCCGATCCGGGGACCGGAGGCGTGTTGCTGTGGGACCTCAGATTCCCCGCCTCGGGGTTCTCCCTCTCTTCTTCTTCGTCTTCCTCCTCCTCCTCGTCCTCTTCTACTTCTTCTTTGACGTTTAATCCGGCTTGTTCGGTCTCCAATTCTGCGCCCGGTACGCCTTTGGTCTTGGGATCAACTGAGGGCGGCGTGGCTATTCAGGTGTGTTCCTTTCCTTCTTCCTTGTTCCCAATCTCTCTCTCTCTCTCTCCGTCTTCTGTTTTTTTCTTATTGACTTTTTTTTCTGGGTTTGTGTGTGTGTACAGACATTCTTTGAAAGTATGAATTCTTTGGTCGTTCTTCAAAAAGAAGTCTTAACTAAACTCAACATCGTTCAAGAATACATTTAAAATGCGGATATCAAATAACACCCCCTTTCCTTCTTCAGTTTTTCTGCATTGTTTTTTTTTTTTTTCGTTTTTGCTTAATTTATCTCACTTAGATTTTCTTTAATATGCTAGACATTTGTGCATAACAGAATAGAAAGTATTAAATGAAATGAGATTGTATTTATACATTTTTTTAGTACAATTGTTTTTGCATTTTGCATTCCAGAGATCAGCAACTTTCCATTTTTGTTTTTATTGATGATCTCAAGACCTATTGTTACCTTACAGTGCACAAACTACAAGACTCATTTGAATCTTGAAATAACTGAGAGTCTGCTGGCTCATGTGGACCTGTGGTACACCACGGGAGCACCTCGACGTCAATCCGGCGAGGGTTTTGCTGGGCAAACCGACCGCCCCCGACCCAGCCAAACCTTCCTGTCTGCCGACGTCAGTTAGGCAGCTTTGCGGCCAGGAAGTCGGGGAGGTCAGCGAATCGACCCATGTCTGCCGGGCGGGCAGTGCGTCGGAATGGGTCATCCCGACTGCATATAGGCAATTATCTCAGGGGTCTGAGACCCCCTGAGATTATGGATTCATGGTCCTTCGGGCGCGCCGACCTCCCGTTGCGGTCACGCCGCCTGCATGGCTGTCATCGGTCTCGAACAACATGACCTTCTATGCAGATTAACTGCACCGAGGTTGACACATGCTGTGAGAGATCACTCAGACAAAAAAAAACAGTCCAGACTGTGCTCGGAGTCTCGGCGACTCAAACCATCAAAAAGACTACCTCCTCAGAGGACTCGAACCGCGAGCCCCCAACTCCCAGGCTTGACGAGCGGTTCTTCTCACTGCTCGACTATAACAGATTGATAATTGTGCCTGATTCTCAATTCATAATACCGCATCATTGCTTTTTTGCAATTTTTTTTTCTCTAAGTCATCTTAATTTCCAATTTTTTTTTTTTTTTTCAAGACCAATTTTTCTCGAGCTTTTGCCTGAAAAGATTAGCTCTGATAGAGTCAAAAAATAACTTGAAAATGGTAGCTTTGACGTCAGCGCGGTGTAGTATGCCAATTGTGTTTCAAGTATCAAATTGCATAAAGTCACAGTTCAATATGTAGAAGGGCATATATTCTTAGGCGTATTATTGCATAATCACATTCTACGGGGCATTTAACCCATAGTCACTCACTGGAACCACTAGGCTAGCTCTGTTGTAACCCAGTTACTGGGTTACCATCTGACTCACTAGACACTAGTGAAGACAGCTCGAGTGAGCGAGTTAGAGAGAATTCATTCATTCATCATCACAAACTACATCAGGTCATGAGCCCTCATCTCGAATAAACGATTTTTCCCTTTAAGTCAAGCCTAGCGTAGGGCAGTTTCTCGACTCTTATATCACCCAGCGTAGGGAGAACAATTTTTCTCAACATCCGACAAATTCGATTCCTTTTCAACACCTCGGCTGTGGCACGTGGATCCCTCTAGAACAACTGATTCACTGAATTTTGAAAGTAACAAGAACGTTCGGCAGCCAGAGATTAGCTACCTCGTCCCGATACCTTGGTACCTAGGGGGCTGAAGTTCGTCCGAGTGAGGATAAGAATTCAGTGCTTGACGTTTTCTATTGACGTTTTTCCATAACCGACATCCTCTCACTTCGAACATCAACATTTCCGCAACCATCTTATTCCTACTTCTTCATTTCTTTCATCCGACCTCACCTACACCTTTTCCTTTTTTTCTTTTCTTCTATCCTTCCTTCCCTGTTTTCTTCCCTCCGTTCATCCGACTACCCCAATTTCCTTTTCTTCTCGTCTCCTCTATCCTTCTTTTCCCTTCCTTCCTTTTTACTTGACATCTCCCAACCCCTTTTCCCAACCACCGTTACCCGCACTTCATGGCTTCAGACATCCGCAACACTCACTCTCCTCCTCAAACCAACAATCCGTGGCATAACGACCAACATCGACCAATCTCTCGGAACTCACCGGTAGCGTTGGCCATCAATGGCGGTACCAGGCCGACCTCCGAGCATCGACACTCACGTAGCAGAAGCCGCAACGCGCCGGGGGATCGGAACAACGATCGTAGACGTGAGGATGAAGAGGATGGCGATGTCCCGATCTACACCGCAAACGAGGTCAATCGTTTCCTGGCTGAAGCGTCGGTCCAATCGCTCTATCAAGGAAAAACGCCGGGACAGATAGTGTCCAATGTCGTCTCAAGAATGTCCAGCGGCGATAAACTCCAACCAAACGGTGCCAACTTTGCCGTCTGGGAGCTGATGATGAGAGAACGGGCCCTGGAAATCTTCAGCAACCCGACGTGGTACACGAAACCTTGCGTGGACCCCGTTCAGGAGCAAATTGGCCGATCGCTCCTCCTCGCCACAGTCGACAGCAACATGCATCGCAGCATGCTACGCCAACCGAATTGCCACGAGATGTTCACCTATCTAAACTCAAGGTTCTTTACAGTGACCCGAGCGGAGCAACTCATGTGCTGGGACCGACTAATCAATTTGAAACTGTCTGATTTTACGAGCAGCGCTGAGGCAGTTTCGAAGCTTTACGAAACCCTAGACGACTTCATCAGCGTCGGGCTTGAAATCAACCGTGAAACGATCGGAGGTCTGGCGCTTCAGAGCTCAATAGAAGCAGGCTCGGAACTACGTCGAGAAGTGGACCGACGTGTCGAACAGGACCTGGGGGGAACGAGTAAAACGCTCTCCAGGAAGGCTGTCACGCCGGACCAGATCCTCAAACATATCGACATAGTGAAGAGGCAGCTTGATCTCAGTTCTTCCCGAGCGAGTACGTTCTCGGCATCTGTTACACAGGCGTACCGGTCATCTATGGACATGCACTCCGATCAAGCCAAGGAGTTCTACGACCCTCAGACCTGGAATAATCATCCGGAACAAGTGGAGGGCTTGGCTTCATCGGGACCCCAATGCTGGAACTGCCGTTCAACGGACCATCTACTCAGCAAGTGTCGCCTCCCACGACGTGCAGACTTCGACCGCCCACCGTCGTCGTTCAATTCCTTGCGACGACATGCCCAACAGCCCGGAGGGCATCGGCCGACCAACGCACCACTGATGGCGCCCGGAAACTTCCAAGCGTGGTACCCGATTGTCACGCCACCGGGCTACCAACATCGCGGTTATCAGTCAGCTCAGTCTCCTTATGCCCCACCGGTTTCAGGTCCTGGTGGACACCAACCTGGGAAGAGAGCCGACTGGTACCGACCAGACTACCGTCAGAAGCCTCCGTCCCACCAGCCAAAAATGCAATCCCAAGCCTCGGTGAACTCGGCCGACATCACAAGCCCGCCCAGCCATTCAGACCAAGAACCGTCCCACCCGGCTCAAGAGTACTACCGACCACCGTCACCAATTCAAGAATCAACCTCAAGAATGATCGAAATTGGGATGTTCGATGAAGGTCTTCAGGATGACGTGGTGCCCAGCTTTTGTCACCTCACGGTGGGTGGCGGCGATGACCCTGTTTTGGATACAGGTGCCACACACCACCTGACGAGCAACAGGTACGCACTGCATAATTTTCGTCTTCTTGAAAAACCAATTCCCCTCCGAGTAGCCACTAAAGGAGGCGGTTCCTTCATCACAGGGGCTGGGGACCTCTCTTTTCCGACCCGGAATGGGCAAATCGCAATTCTTAGAGGCGTGCTATATTGTGAGCAAGCCTCGTCAACTCTCATCTCTATGGCAGCTCTGAGAAAGGCTAACTCTAAATTCCTCTACAATCACGTAGAGGATGCCTTCCATATATTCTCTCCCCACTGGTTATTGCTTTTCCGCTGCCATTTTCGCCGGACTACCAACAAATGGTGCCTACCTCAACCACTTGCTCCAAACACATCTGGGGAACTACCACCTTCCATTTTTCTCTCTGCCAATATTCGTCCTCCCGTTTCTTCTTATGGCCAATCAACTTCTCCTCATCTGCCTAATTTGTTAAATTCCTCTTCTCCTTATATTCCTGCTACTCACAACCTTGTTGATCCTACAAAATGCAATGAAAACACTAACCATGTTGAGTCCAAGAATCTAACCAGACCCACCGGATTAGCAGTGAAGCCCGCCGAGAAGGAATTGTTTGAGTCGCCTTTGGAGGTATCACCCAGTTTCACATGGCGACCAGAAGATCTGACAAAAGATGAGGCTACACTGTTACTTTGGCACAGGATTTTTGGCCATGCTAGCCTTAGGGTAATCAGGCGTTTAGTGAAGCAACAAGCTGCTTTTGGCCTGCCCGAGAAGATGCCTGCGGGACAACTACGCTGCCCAGTGTGTGCAATACACAAAAGCAACAGGAACAACGCTCTCCTTTGTTCCAATAGGTCTGTCAAACCACTAGAAATTCTGAATGTTGACTTGATGGGACCTTTCCCTATTGAGACTTATCACAAAGGTCGCTATGTACTAACACTGAAAGATTTAGGTTCCGGTTATAATGAAGTAAAAATTATGACTAACAAATCTGAGGCTAACAAACACATTGTAGACACTATCAACAGACTTGAAAGGCAGACAGAACTAAAAGTGAAGGTCTTACGGAGCGACAACGGAGGAGAGTTTGCAAACAAAGCATTGGCGACTTTCTTGACGTCTAAAGGCATACGGGCAGAAAGGAGCCTGCCTTACCACCATTACCAGAATGGAGTAGTGGAACGTTTCAATAGGACAGTCTCTGACATGGGAAGAACGGTCCTAGGAGACAGCAAGTTACCGCAACGCTTCTGGGGCTTTGCCTTCGAATGGGCCTCGTGGACACTCAACCGGCTTCCCAACAAGACAAGTGGAGACAAGACCCCGTACGAAGCCCTATTCAAAGTGAAGCCTCAAGTTGATAAGGCTAGAATTTTTGGTAGTATTGCTTATGTTCTTCAACCACCGGAAAAAAGGAACAA